TCTAGATTCATAGATTCTAGGGTTGGATGGGACCTCAGTGGGCCATCTAGTCTGACCCCCTGCCCCTGGGAGGCAAGAAAAGGGTCACCAAACCTGGGATCATGTGATCCCAGCCAGGTGCTTGTCCAGTCTCCTCTTGAAGACCCCCAAGGATGGGGCAAGCACCACCTCCCTTGGAGCCCATTCCAGGTCCTGGCAACCCTGACCATGAAGAATTTTTTTCTAATGTCCAGTCTAAACCTACTCTCCAGTAGCTTATGGTCATTGTTCCTTGTTGTTCCTTGAACTGCAGCATCCGGAACTGGACATGGTACTCCAGCTGCGGCCTGACCGTGCCGCGTAGAGAGGGAGAATCACCTCCCTGGACCTATTTGTGAAGCACCTACAGATGCACAACAAGGTGCAATTGGCTCTGCCAACTACATCATCACATTGACAACTAATGTTCATCCTGGAGTCAACAGTGACTCCAAGATCTCTTTCAGCCTCAGTGATGCTGAGAAGGTCGCCCTCCAGCGTATAGGTATGATGGCGGTTTTTTCTCCCTAGATGCAGCACCTTGCACTTGTCCTTATTGAATTGCATCCTGTTGCTCTCTGCCCATTTCCCCAACCCATCGAGGTTGGCCTGGATCTGGTTCCTCCTCTCTAGGGTGTTAGCTTCACCCCCATATTTTTGTGTCATCCGCGAATTTGGCCAGGGTGCTTCCCACACCGTTGTCCAGATCACTGATGAAGATGTTGAACAGCACCGGCCCCTGAACTGAGCCCTGAGGGACTCCACTGCACCCATCTTTCCAGGTTGACACTGACCCATCCACCACCACCCTCTGAGTCAGTTTGCTACCCATTCTACCATATAATCATCCAAAGCAAATCCCCTCAGTTTATTAATAAGGATGGTATGGGATACCGTGTCACAGGCCTTCTTGAAGTCCAGATAGATAACATCCGCCTTGACTCCTGCATCTAAACATTTGGTGGCCTTGTCATAAAAAGAAACTAGGTTAGTCAGGCAGCACCTGCCTACTATAAACCCATGATGGTTACCTCTCTGCATCACATTAGCCAGCATCACATCTCACAGATGTGTTCCTTGATAATTTTTTCAAGGATTTTCCCTGGGATACAGGTGAGGCTGACCGGTCTATAGTTCCCCAGATCCTCCTTCCTCCCCTTCTTGAAGATTGGGCTGACATTGGCCCTCTTCCAATCCTCTGGGACCTGACCCGAGAACCATGAGTGCTCATATATCCTTGCTAGTGGTTCAGCTATGATGCTCGCTAATGCCTTCAATACCCGTGGGTGGAGTCCCTCCGCTCCCGGTGATTTGAACACATCCAGTCCCTCCAAGTGTCCTTTTACCATGTTGGCACTGACCATTGGTCGGCCAATGTTCTCCTTGTTGATGTCTGTGATGCATATTGAGGGTTCGTCTAGATTCCCATTTAAAAAGACAAAAGCAAAAAATTCATTAAAGAGCTCTGCCTTGCCCCTGTTATCCGTCACTAAACCCCTCTGCCTGTCCTGTAGGGGTCCTATGCTACCCTGCACCCTCTTTTTGCTCCCAGCATACCTAAAGAAAGACTTTTTACTGTCCTTAATCCTTGCCACTAGCCTGAGTTCTAGAGCTGCCTTGGCCTTCCTGCAGGTGTGGGCCATGGAAATGTACTCCTTCTTCCACTTCCTGTATGCCCCTTTTTTGCCCTTAAGGTTATCCTTGATGACCCTGGTTAGTCAAAAGGGCTTTCTGCTATGGGATTGTCTTGCTCTGAGCCCAAAGAATAGTATCTTTGAGGAATGACCACCCGTCCTGAACCCCCAAAGCATCTAGGCTCTTGGTTCCTAGTGCCCTGCTAGCCAATCCTCTGAGCCTGTTAAAGTCAGCCTTTTTAAAGTTTAGCACCTGTGTCCTGCTAGGTATAGTGCCCGCCCTTCTCTGGATAATGAATTCTATCATTTGGTGATCGCTGTCCCCTAAGTTGCCTTGAATCTGCAGGTCCCCCCACCAGGTCATCCCCTGTGGCCAACACCAAGTCAAGCAAGGCATTACTTCTGGTGGGACTCCTTACCTCCTGTGTTAGGTGGAGGTCCTGAATAAAGGTTAAGAACCTGCGTGAGCAATTAGATCTAGCTGACTGTTCCTTCCAGCATATGTCTGGGTAGTTAAGTTCCCCCATGACTACCATGTCTCTAGACCACACAGCCTCTGAGTTTGTTTCCTCAGTCATACCTGAGATTACCCTGGGAGATTTGGGCTGAAAGAGGCACCCAGAAATATTGCCAGTGGGCAAAGCACCCCCAAGGCTTGCAGGGTCGGTGTACTCTGGGCTGCACAGCGCCGTAATAGAGACCAGTGCCTGGGTGGTGGCAGTGTTATTCCAGGCTTGCAAGTGTTATTCTGGAGGGGGGTGGCCAGCTGTAGGCTCCCCAGGGGAGACTCCTAAAGCATACTTTTGGGCCTGGCACAGAGGTGGGTGGCTCTGTGTAGTAGCGCCCCCTACTGTGCTGCCACACAGACAACAACTTGTTGAGGGGGTGGAATGTGGAGGGGGGAGGCACAAGGATATAAGGGATCCCACATATTCAGTGTACCCCTTCCCTGCACATGCAGAACAGCTTCCTAAAGAGCTCCAAGTACAGTGCCCCATTTCCTGACCTTTGTGGCTGTAGCACATCTGTGAATTGCCTCCTCTGCGTCTTGTTTTGCCTCCAAATAGCTCTTGTTTCTCTCTACCCCCCCCCGCCCTTTTTTTAACCTCTCTGTCAAAACACCTGGACTTTCCTATCTTTCCTTTAAGTCCTCTTCTGTTCTCCTTTTCTTCCAAAATTCTCTTGCTCCCTTTTCCTATTCTCCCAAAGCACTAGCTTCTACCTTTTCTCCAAATCTCACTCCACCCCACAAATCCCCTCACCCATCCATCCTCCACAGTCTCTGCTCACTGCCTGTCCCCACTTAACTCTTCCTTTCCAAAGCTACTTCACCTTTTTCCCCCTGCCCCCAAATAATGCTGTTTGATCAGTCTCTCTCCCTAAATAGTATTATTACTTAAACTGAGTGGAACTCAATGCATCTGAGTGGAAATTAATGCATCTACAAATCTTTGAAGATGAAAACCTTTACAAGCCTTGCCTGGATTTGAATGGCTGCTTCAGAGAGAATACATATCTCCTACATTATGTTTTAACCTATTAAACAATCCACTCTGAAGGAAGTTGGAAATCTTTCTCCAGACTTAATCCCTTTTTTATAGGTTTTGAGCATATCCCACCTCTTTTTGATTCTGTGTAAGGCAGTAGCTTACACAGATGGAATGAACAAAAAAAAATTTAGTTCCTATAATACGCTCTTTTACAAATCTGTACTGTATTTCAAATTACTGAAATAAAACACTGTATACTTTGAGTAATGTAACTAGGGCAACTTAATGACTAAGTTGTCCTAGTTAAATCTTACTTAGTAATGTCTCATAACATGTTTGGTTTGAAACAGTTTTAAGCTGAGTCAGTGAGATATTAGTCTGATTAACGTTGGTAGGAGTAGATCTGAACTTGTTGCAAGTATTAGTCGTGTTGAACTTCTTTGTATTGATTCCATTACCAAATAATACAAAATCATTTTAATGATTAATAGTATTCTCTAGATTCTCCGCAAGAGAAGGTTGAGAGGCGACCTTGTGGCTGCCTATAAGTTCATCATGGGGGCACAGAAGGGAATTGGTGAGGCTTTACTCACCAAGGCACCCCTGTGGGTTACAAGAAATAATGGCTACAAGCTAGCAGAGAGCAGATTTAGACTGGACATTAGGAAGAACTTCTTCACAGTTAGAGTGGCCAAGGTCTGGAATGGGCTTATGCAGGGGGTCGGACTCGATGATCTATTGAGGTCCCTTCTGACCCAAACATCTATGAATCTATGGGAACCCAGAAGTCAAATTTGAGCCCTGATCCCGCACCTCCCTGTGAGTAATTCTTTCTTATGTTACCATGTTGATTTTGTTTGAACTGGATGAACCCAAGCACAAGAAATTTATTTTTCCTGGCATAGGAAAACTGACACTGCTTTAGAGAGATTCTAAGTTTTCTATTGATGTGTTTTGAAGATTCATACATTTCTGTATTTTTTTCTTTTTAAAATAATCCAGTAATTTGCTCTGACTAGAATCGCTATATAACTACTTTTGCATATAACTACTTAATGCAAAATAAGATCAGAAATTACCTTACCTCCAGATAAAAATTGTTACGTAAACTGTTTAATTTCTGTAGTAATTTATTATGATAAATATTTGTTGAGGTCTTTGACTTTCAAATACATATTTTTGTTTTAAAAAATTGGAGCATGTTCCATTTTAATGAAGGAACCATTCCCATAAAGACAGTAGTTTTACAATACAGATAATTTGTTAGAGAACAGTGATTTAGAAGCAGGCCATTCTAACCTTATACGAAACCTTTTAGAAATTATCTGCAGTTTACAAAAAACAAAAATCAATTAACATTGATTGCCCTTTTCGTTACAATGGATTCTTCCTAATATTAAGATGACAACCTCTTTCAGAGATGAGATGTATAAAATTCTAACATCTCTATTTTTTTTAAAACAACTAAGCAAATAAGCAACTGTTTATAACAAATGATGCAATCTAAAGATAAATGATAAATTAATTGAAGCTATGGTTCTAATATATTGTTTTGGAGACTAAACACATTTGATTGAATTGTTTCACAACCAGCATGCCTAATTAATGTGTCTACCACATTCATCTATTTGAGTCATTCCCAACTTCTGGCTGGCTGCCTAGAATATTGCTGCAATACGTGTTTCAATTGGTTAGTCTCTTGTTAAGCATAACTTAACGATGGAGGATTTTTTTAAATTTTAGCCTGCACAAATTTCCTTTTTGTGGCACAATTTTCAGGTAAAAAGTGATGATAGGCTTACACAATGTTGATTCAAATAAAATTGAAAATAAACTGATATTTTATTTGTTTTGTCAGGTCAATGATTAAAAAGTGCCTTTGTGAAGTCACTTTTATGAAAGAAGAGTGCTACGCCAGTCTGTTTTCAAAATATTATCTCTGCCAGCTAGATGTTGCCCTGACCATATATGTGGCAGAAGGTACCTCAACTGTCTCTGTTTGCCAATTTTTGATGTGAAACTGACTTCAACATTAAAAAAGCTGAAGAAAAATTACTGCTAGGACGTGAACAGCTGACTGCATTGCTTTCCCTGTGTAATCAATACCAGCAACCAGCCTACGAAGAATTAATAATCTGTTGAGGAGTGTGCCATTGCATTGAAGTAACTTTAGTTAAAACAGTTGTCAGCATACAGCCAAGAGACTTACACATTTTACAGCCAGAGATACCACTGAGCATGAATTTTTTGCAGCCAAAAATCTATACATGGGACACATTGATTGATGAGTGACTGCTTGCTGATAAATATTCTTTGCTCATTCTGCTTTGCACGTTTTGGACTCCAGTAAGCAATTTATTTCTTCATTGCGTCTAGGAGCCGTTTTGTTTTTTTCTCCCTACCCCCAACCTCTCCTTCAACAGTTATTTTTGGAATTGGAGTTTGCTTGGCATAATTGACTTAACAGTAAATTACAAAATCTAAATCAGTTTTTCATCATGGCTTTGAATGTTGCTCCTGTAAGAGATACGAAATGGCTAACGTTGGAAGTTTGCAGACAATTTCAGAGGGGAACTTGTTCACGTTCTGATGAAGAATGCAAATTTGCACATCCTCCCAAAAGTTGCCAGGTCGAAAATGGAAGAGTTATTGCTTGCTTTGATTCCTTAAAGGTAAGAAGGAAAACTGCATATGCTAAATAAAAATTTTTTAAAAAAGTAAGACTTTTTATATTGAAAACAAATCCTATTTTTATTTTATAGTGGATACAGTTTAAAACATGTTATAGAAGTACTAGATATTTCAAATCTTGTCTTGCCGTTTCTAACTATTCAATGCACAATTACTTGCATCTGGTTTGACAACTGTGTTCACAACCATACTTTTTTGTGAAGTATAATTGTTTCAATTCAACTAAAAATAAATGTTATAAATTTAGGTTACTGTGAGATGGATGATGAAACAAATTATGGTAAATTAATGTGAAGGATTTAATTTGATTCCACAGACTCAAAACAGATTCCATTGTGAATTGCCCTGATGTATCTTTTCTTTGTTCTGTGAATCTTGGATAAGAGCATAGCATTGCTAGTCATACATACTGCTATATTTATAGCATGTACAGCAAAGTAAGGTAAGAATAGAGTGGAGATCTTGGAAGTGGAGCCCAATCTGTTAATAAAGATTGATAGGCCCTCAAATCTTTACTCAAATTTTAATAACTGTTTTAACGTTTTATAAAATATTATTACAAAAATAATTCTTCTGGATGGTGAGAAGAATATTTATAATTTGATGGGACTCGGAGTCAAAAGCTTTTAATTTTTAAGTACATAGATCTGTTTGTAGCATTGGAAATAGTGCATTTGACAAGGAAAAACAGTTTAAGGAAAATACTTGATGATGGGACTGATAAATATTTCAGTTTTTGACTTGTAAACTTTGCCAGTGATTTATTTACTTGCACCTTGCTTGTTTGCTTTATGTATGTTAGTTTCATAGAGCCAAATTCAATAACACCAGCAAAAACCCTCTTGAAGACAGTTATGCTGTTAATGTTACTTTGAAGACAATATTTGGATACTTTATATTGTTTTAGGGTTTGTTTTGTTTTGTACCAGTTTTGTTCAGGTAGGGTATTAAATCTTTTCTTTTAGAGCAAATTTAGAGAGAGAAGATTTCTGTGCAGGCATGTTTGGTTGGTCTTGCATTCTATGTACCCTTTACACAGAACAGCTCCTTTGGAGTTATTACACTCTATCATGTCATTACGTGCTATTAATGACTTTAATCCTTGGATTACTGCATGATAAACTGCAGCAGCTTCTTCGGAGATGTTCTTGTGTATCGGGTCATTGGCCTCCAACACATGTTTAAAATGAGCAGTGCAGCATGTGGCATCTGTACCAAGTTGGCAGTATGTACATCTTCCAAAAAGAAAAAATTGAGTCAGGGAGATTGTTCAGACAGCCTGATATCAGCAAGTGCAGACTATTTCTTAAATACTTAAGACTACCTATACATTTCATTTTTAAACTGAAGCTTTTACTTTTTGAGTCATGGAAAAGTATAGCCTCCCAGAACAGGGTTAAATACTTTTGCTTCTTAGCTGAAATGTACATGTTAAGAGTCAATCTGGTGGAAAAGTTTATAGTTGGGTTCCATGGCCTTGAAAATTTGGGGTTAAAAATAGAAGTAGATTCATGATTATATACTTGTGATGTCTTAGTAAACATTTGTGTAATCCAGTAGAACTTTTTTTGGAAGCATAGATGTCCCAATCTACTTATTTTCTAGGTTTAGAACTACTATACTACTAAATGAGCACATAAAAAAGCCATACTTTTGATATAATACATTTTTTGACAGTGCTTCTCCACTTCTGGAGAAAAAATAACCCCACAACATATTCTTGTTGTATTCTTCTCATTTCCACAATTAACTTGAGTAAGTACATTTAACTTATTCTACTTACCATGGCCTAATTTGAGCAAGACCAACCAGAGTGAAAGACAAAGGGCTTGTCTACATTGACCTAGTATGATGTTAAACCAATGGCATCCAATCTTCCAGCTCCAGGAGCTGGATGAGTGGCCCAGAGTTGGTCTCTGGGCTGTATCCCATGTGGGATCAGTTAATAGGTATGATCTAGCATACCAGCCTGACTCTGCATGCCTGGATCTGGCCACACACCAGCCCAACCCTGTGTGCCTGGATCTGGCCATGCGCCAGCCACCTTGTCCAGTGTATGGGGCTGTCCATGTGTCCAGAAAATCGGCAGCAGAAATTGGGAAAATTGGGAGCGGAAATTAATGCTGCCACTGCTCCCCTGCTTACAAATTTCTGGACCCTTGGGGAGCCCTGTGAGCCAGTTGACACAGCCCTGTGGGCCAAGGGTTGAGCACTCCAGCATTAGTACTGCCGTAAGACATGCATGCCCTCTCTGTGTGTAATGTGGAAATAATAGTGTGGTGCTGGACCTATATTAATAAGCTCTATATCTCTTGAGTGGTGGCATGTGACTAGTGCTGCACTGAACAGGCTATGCAGAACAAATGGTTTAGCAGCTGATAAATTATCATAGTATGAGCTGTTGCCTTCCCACTGTATGACTAGTTCAAGCATTAACAGTGCTACCGCTTCAGCCCATCTACCCACCATGCTGACAGGCAGCTAACTCAAACTGGAAGCACCACTTAGCTTGGGCTACAGAATGTGTCAATGAGAGTCAGTTTAGGGTCAGAACTTGAATTAGTGTGTGAGCCAACAATGTAGTGAAGGCATGCTCTCCAGGATATCCATTTGTAGGTTGCTGAGAGGTATTCATATTTGGTGGCGTGTGGGCTGAGAACAATTACAGTAATACAGTTGCAGTAGATAAACACACTATTTTAATGCAGTGGAATAAGTCTGCTTCCTGAGCTTTCTGGTATATAAAGTTCTTAAAACTCACTGTAGATCCCTGTTATTTTGCTATTACCAACTCTCTAAATGTCAGTTAACATTAGTACACCCATAACCTTCATAATTCTAGAAGGTTTTTATGAACTGTACAAGCATGTGTGCAACGTGGCTGGGTAATTTGATTTTCTTATGCTGTTAAGTTGAGATATTTCTCTAGTTAATAACAAAGCCATTTGATATATGACTCAAAGTATTACCATATTTTCTTGCATATTCCTCCCCTCCCCCCCCCGCCCCCCCCATTCCCAATAAGATATGCACCTTGTTTTGGGAAAGCAGAATGAAAAAGAAAAGATTTTTCCAGTCATACTGAATGCTTCCTGCAGGGATCCTGACTGCTGCAGCTCTGGCTGTTAAATGGTTAACATTGTAGCTCTGATCCTGAAGGATGAACTCTACTCCCTCCCTCCTGAAGGCTGGCAGACAGACAAGCATGGCAGCCTCCTTGCAGCAGTGTCTCCATGCTTACTTCTGTTCCAGCAAAGAAAAATCAGTCTTCCTGGTTAAGGCAGGCACCCCAATTTTGGGGGGCTGATTGTTGGGGAGAAGATGCGTATTTTGCGGAAGTAAATATGTATAATCTTACACTTACTTTCATCAGTTGGGTCTGTTCAGGACAGAAGTTGTGCAGTTTTATCAAAATGAGGGACAGCCTTTTTCCAGGTATAGAGAAACAGGAAGATGCAGTCTAAATGAAAAGAAAACCAGGCCTTTGAATTTAAAAAGCTATAATTTTCTTTCTGAAAACTGAATCAGGTATCTATTACCTGTGTTTTAAATGTGGGAAATAGGATTCTGCCATAGTAATATAACATGTAGTTTCGCAACCTTGAAATATTCGGTGTCTGTCTTTAGTTTTATCTTCTGTGAAGAGTGAATTTCAATAAGTAATTGAGTTATTGAAAATTAAACACTTCCTATCTGTAGAACAGGTGGGATTTTAGGCTCTCAAATTACAAAGTATGCATCTATTTAAGGCAGCTGCCTTACATATTCTCCTTTGAGAATTTCCCCGAAGAGTTCCTGTTCATGGGTTCAGTATGTCCCCAGTACAGTATCTTACTAATATCCTTCCACTGAGAGCATTTGCAAGATGTAGAAGATGGCTTGACAGGAAGTGCTTCTCAGTTGTCCCTCAGTCTGAATCACTGGACATTCTGTTTCTTTAGCAGTTAGGTTTCTTTTCTGCCCTTTTAGTCCTCATGGTTATATTGAGTTTGTCAGTTTGAACACTTACAAGACTTTCAGACATTCACCCATTTCCTAGGGTTAGATTAAGGCATAGGTTATGCAAACACCTGTATAGAACCCTGCTCTCATACAGTTTTATGATTGCATTAGAAGCTAAATTTCCATATAAAAATAAAGATACATTTCTAACCTTTCCTAGTAGGGGTGCACCGATAAAGATTTTTTGGACTGATACCAGTGGCTGATTATTGACCAGCCATATCGCCTGATACTGATCCGATTGCTGATATGCAGCCTGGCAGCTTGGAGAGCAGCCTCCACCTGGTAAGTCTTTTTGTGGGGAGGGGTGTGGGGGGAGCAGATCAAGGCCTCCATGGGAAGGAATGGAGTGGGGCTGGGGCTGGGGCAGGGGCAGGCACTGCCCACCTGGGCTGGGGTGGGGTGTGAGGCAGAGCCATGGGGGGCTCATTTGGCGGGAGGGTGAAGGGGGATGGCTCTCTCCACTGCGCACACCCTGGGGGAGGCACAGGGGGCATGTGCCCCCCAGATCTGTGTGTAGGGTGAGAGTGGGGTGCCCAGTGCCTGCTTGGGGCCACAGGCTGTGCTGGCCTCTTCCCGGGGTGGGGGGGGAAATGTGCTCTCACCAGGCACGGTGGGGTGGGTAGCAGCAGAGCTGGGAGGGAACCTACCAGGTGGGGCTACAGCAACCCCATCATTTGCTGTGGTACCCCTGTAGTCCTCCTCCCAGCGCCGCCACTGCCTACCCCACTCCTGCCCACCGTGAGCGCAGCCCCAGCCCATTGCTTCTGCCAGGAAGAGGCCAGCACAGCTTTCAGCCCCGAGTGTGCAGTGGGCAACTTGACCTTTCCCCACGCACAAATCCAGAGGGCACATGCCCCCCATGCCTCCCCCGAGGGTGTGTGTGGCAGCAGGAGTTGCCCCCCTCCCCACCACCCTCTGCCCCCCAGACGAGCTGCTCACGGCTCCATCTCACACTGTGCCCTGTCCCAGCTGTGCA